TCTAATTTGATCCATTTCTACTAATTAAAATTAAATTTTTCTTATAGATCTAATTTCTAAAACTAAAAGACATCTTTTATAGAACATTATTTTCAATTTGTATCCAAATTAGAGAAGTTGTATGGATTGGAACACAAGGTGAATATCTAAAAAGATCTTTGATTTCTAGATTGTGTATATTTGTTACAAAAATCAAGATGATTTCTTCAATAATCATCTTATTAATCCCATTTTTAATTGATGAAGTATAAATTAAAATCAAATACAAAAGAATCCTATGCTAGTATAGCGATGGTTTAGAACTTGAACATAAAGTTGCATAATGCCTCTAAAATCCTTCAATATGATCATACAAAAAATTAGTAAAAATCCATAAGATTTATCTTATCTATTTTTTATTCCAATAGTTCTTATCATCCAACTAGTACTAACTTATAAGAAGGATGTGGTATTCACTACAATACAAGAGATGGAATATTTTATTATAGTATTTTTTGATAATTTAAATTTACATTCCAAATTTCAAACTTTAATCCTCAAATCTCCTACTTATCCTTCTTTATTTCAAAAATTGAAGTGAAGAGTAATTGAAAAAAAAAGACAAGGTAATGAAATCTCCCTATTTATGAAGAAACAATCAATTAGCATTGTTATCAAGAAAGCAAGCCTCTTTACAAGAACATGGAGTCCTTGATTGCAAGTGGATTGTAAAAAATATAATGTTGTCCAAGTAAACTCATATATATATATATATATATATATATATATAAGTAGCTCAAAGGCTAAGTAAAAATTTTAGATTAATTTCTTTCTTGTATAAAGATGCATCCAAATCTTGGATCTGATTTCAAATTCAAACCTCTCTTTATTAAAATACCTATAATTTACTTATTATTAATCTAATTTAAGCAAAGTTTAGCTCATTGAGCTTAACTCAAGTTATAAACTTCAAATTATTTAAGTCAATAAAAAAAAAATAATAATAAAAGCTAAATCAAAAAATAAAATAAAATAAAATAAAATAAAATATTATTTACTATTGTTGTTGTCTTTAAAATCTCCATCTACAAATTAGCTTGGATCTCCCTCGTTATAGCTCTTCTTCTTGTGTGATAAATCTTATTGAAAATCTAACAACAAGATCCAACTTCTTTTAAAATTTCAAATCAAAAAGAAAAAAATATAGGAAATGGCATAGAAAATTCCAAACCAATTTTGAATTTTGCCGCCTAAAAACTCCAATGACCTCCCTCCTACAAAATTTCATAAATCTCTCTTATCATAGTTTTTCTTCTTGTGTGCTAAAGCTCATTGTAAAGCTAACAAAAAGATCATTCTTTTTTCTAAATCTCAATACAAAAAGATAAAAATTTAGTAAGTAGCATTAAAAATCCTAAATTAGTCTTGAAACTTGCCACCTCAAAATTCTAGTAACTTCCCTCCAATACACTCCTATCTAAGCAAAAAGAGAAAAATTCTTATTCTAATCTTTTTCTAATATCTACCTTGAACTACTATAGAGTTGGATATCTACCCTAAAAGATAGTACTCTCAAATCTTAAATGATCCATTTAAGCCAATAATCTCTTATTCTAAATTTCATTCAAATCTATAAATATATTAGCATTATATTCTTCCTCTCTTATGAATAAAGTTAATTATCTTTAAAATAACTTTAATGCATTTAAATTAAGTATATCATGATATTATCTTTGAATAAGAAATATTCTATTTAATTAAGTCTCTTTAAAATTTAAATGTAGAAGCTTCTAAATTTTTTTTTTATCCTGAAAGATGTAGAGAAGCAACTTCAAATTTTGCCAACAATCTACATGTTCAATTTTAACATCCAAAAATGGTACCTTAGTGTAATGTTAGGAGAAGTTGTGAAAATTTAGATTACCTTCTCCACCAATATTGCACAAATAATTGACAACGTATAAAAGAATTGTTGGGACCAATTTCTTAGGATTTATTCTATACATATAATTCAAAATATAAGTCTATTTCATCATATGAATGGAATATAATATAATAGATCTATTAATAGTAAATTCTTGTAAATAAGAGCATAATATGTCACATCATAGTGCAATTGTAAATTTTTCCAAGAGACAATATGTGCTACTTCAGCAAATCTCAATTTCAATATACTAATATAGAACAGCTTAAAGTGTAAATACATCCTAACTGGGATATATCTTTGAAAGATATAAATCCACTTACAATACTTACAATACATTGAAGAATGGATATTATGCCATTTGTATAAGCAAATGCCTTATACATCATATTTATTAAGATTAATTCTCAAACTAAATCCTTCATCTACATAAGTAAATACTTATCTATTTGGCTACTTACAAAGAAATAACACACCAAAGATAGGAATCTAAAGCAAGCAAAGTCCTCAAGAACCACAACATCAAAACTAATGCTAATAATAATGGATCACATGAGGCAAGCTACCACTTCTACATTAATAATTTCTACTAATCAAACAAAGACTATTTTCAATCACTTCAAGGCTTCTTTCTTGCCTTCCATCTCCATCACTATCTTTTCTACCATCCTTAATTATAATATAGGTAACAATGATCATATATGCTATACCATACTTTAGCAAAAAATACCTTTTTTTGAAGCAAGACAATGATAAATTTCTTTAGCTAATAATGCAAGTTTCAAAAAAAACCTCAACAATATTCAATCTTTTCAAAATCACATTCTTTGACGAACTTATAATTTAGTTCTTCAATTGAGATGCTATCTACTTTTTCCTACTAAAAATTGCATATTTTCTAATTGATAAAAAAATTGGTAATTGAAGATTACTACATAGTAAAGATTTTAATTTTTTAATATTTTTCAACCAAACAATGTGTTGGAATAATGGCCTCTATTTTATTACACCATAATTTCTAATTCATAGCACGTCACTTAGCTCTACTTAAGATTGGATCAACTAAGAGATGCCACTTAAGTTGTTATATTTAAATATCTATTTTCAAATTTAATATAATATTTTAAAATATGAAAGTCTTCTTCAACTTTAAGATAAGAAAAATAAAACAAAAATAACTTTGTTTATATTCAAAAATAGTATAATTTTATCTTGGTGAGGTATTTTTATAAGAACACAAGATGTTGTAAGATCTTTGCAAAAATATGGACTTCTATGGACATTGTAGAAGACATTCACTATAAAATGGTCTTGTTTTCAATCCAACATCTAATCAATTTAGATATAGAACTATAATCCTTCTATCAGCTGCATCAAAATATATTATAAAGGCCTCTAATATTTTGATATGAAGCTATACATAATGGATACTTTGCAATATCAATTCACAAAAAATTGGCCACTTTAATATTTATGCCTTCAATTAAAGCAATGATTGTGCTTCTTTTTTTAACACTATTAGCCTCAAATAACCTCTAACAAAGTTCAAGATCATTGATAGTAATCTAAATATAGTCAAAAATAAGAAAGATTATATTATAAATCCTTCAAAAAACTTAAGCTTAGAAAAACAAACTACTTGGGATAATCTTATCTTTAAGCTAGGACTCAAATGCACCTAGCATTTAGATGATTTTAATCATCACAACTTACTACCATGCTCATGGTCAAATAAATAAAAAGATAATTAATACTATTATTGAAAATTTTGTTGTTGATCTAAGAAAATACAAACTTCTTATTATAGGAATCTTTATTGCTTATGTATGTTTTAGTTATCAACCAAATCCTCACTTGCACCTAATTTGACCTATCTCACTTTGAACTCTTATAATTCAATGTAAAATCAATAGAATGATTTAAAAACTTTTTCTATAGATTTTTTTAAAAAATTATATTCTAATTTTTAACTTGATTAATTATTTAAATTATTTATAGCAAAAAAATATCCTAAGCTAATTTTTAGGTCACTACTTATTCCTCACAATTCTACATTTAATTATTTTTATATGCATATATCTTAAATAAAATGTCATAATATCTTAAAAATTGGTGATCAGATTTTTGACTTCAAAAAATAACTACTCTCTAAGTCTCATAATAATAACTCTCATAAACACCAAGTTATGACCCCTCAAAGTTATTATCTTTGACTTAGAAACTTGCTAAATTCCTTTTGCTTTAGTACTTTGCTTTTCCTTGACTTGATAAGTTAATGCTTTCAAACTTTGCACACAAGTGGATACACTTTTTTTAAATAATTTCCTAAAAGCTCGCCTTTATCAAAGACTCCAATCAATCATAGTAGATTAAAAATCAAGACCTAAATTTTGTCTTTTTTTATTAAACAAGACAAACAAAAAATACAATAATTATAACAACTCCCTCTTTGTGTTTCTCTTCCTTCCTATAAGATATCTTGATACCTCAAAAATATCATCAAGATGTCTCTTTAGTGAGAGTCTACCACATAAAATCCATCCAAGTTTTTGTTCATGTACTTGTTTTAATTCACATACATATCAATATTACATTAAAAATTAGCCTTGGTCATAACAAGGAAAAGCACACATCTTCAAAAGATTTAGCGTTCTTTCAAATCACTTATCAATTTACCTAAAAATCATATATCTTAAAACTAATGAAACCAAATAATTGTTTGGCTTCAATACAACTTTTTTAGAAGATCCATTATTTATTATTCAATTTCAATAACATTGAAATATTAAGTTGAAGCTCTAGCCAAGAATTGCTAGCTACTCCAAATGGCTAGTACAAATCCTTGAGCGCCTCAAGCATCTATATATTAACACTTGGTACTCAATAGGATTAAATAGAATGATTAATGAACATGGTATTTGAAAAAGCATCATTTTATGCTGAGACAGCAAGTTGGTGCATGAGATAACCTGTCAATGCCTTCAAGACTAGGGTGGACATTGACTTATTGAATATATGATTGCAGATGCATTCAATATTTTTTAACAGATGAAAACATACATGTGAGCATGAGCTGATGGACGGTGAGGCAAGATTATAATCAAGCAATCACTCACGATTACTCAAAATGAGCACTGTATATACATTAATCTAGCGGAATCGTAGTCTGCAGAAAACATAGATATCATCCCTTCCATACAAACTTCAATGTCTTCAGTGATCTACAACCATCAGAATAATGGTCGTTTACACAAAAATAACCCATACTTCGTATGCAAGCGTCGTTAGAAAAAGTCGCCGTAAGAAAACATATGTTATGATCAATTCTCACCGATAGAGATCATCCTCCTAAATATTTTTGCAATAACCATTACTATCTTGATGGCCAACAATTTACTGCCAAAAATACTAATCACAACATACGGGGTTGACGAGAATACCGTAGTCCCCAACAAATCCTTAATTACACTGATGCCAAGTTGTGCCCCTATTTCTTGCGCTTTGCTGCCGATGTTGCTTTTTGCTCTTGTGATTTCTTGGATGATGTAGGTGTCTTAGCTTGGCTAGCTTTTGTTGTACCCCTCCCACGACCTCTTCCTGCTCCTAATGCATCCAGAGATGAAAATCAAGGTAAGTGTGCTTAAAAAATGAGGCGCCAAGACGATCTAGTGCCGTGGCCAATTAAAGTTATAATTTTAGAACATTTTGACGTGCCATGCAAATATGAAGGACATACCATTACAGAGCACACATGGACGCATGGCCAAATAAAATGTAAAGAAGATAATACACACCTGGTTTTGATTTTGGATCTAGTGTCACAGTCATTCCTGGTCTTGATTGAGTCAGCAAGGCTGTACAAAACATCAACAGGATGGTATCGGAATTACTAATTCACTCAGTTCTATCACGTGAGAGCACTGGCTTAAAATTGAATCACCACTGTCAATGCGAATCACCACAATGTACCGCAAAACTGAATCATTAAGCCAGCAACCCACAAACCCAAAGGGTAGAACGAGTTCCAAAACATTCAAAAGGAGAAGGTACGTCGGAGAAATAAACCTAATGACTTTTCGTCCGCTCCCTCCTCATCCTCGTCCTCACCATCATTGTCTTCATTTACTGTCACATGTCACAGATTTAACATAGGTTAGAAACCAAAAATCTAGAAATAGAAGATCGTTGCGAATTCCTAAAAAAAAACACGAGTACTTTTCACACCAAAATTTGAAAGCACGGCATGCATGTACATGCATATACTACTGGTGACAAGGAAGTTTTAATTGGCAAACCATCGTCAATGGCATCTTCAAGAGCTTCCAAGCTTTCTTCATCCTCAGCTGCCATAAAGTTCATGCGTGCAGGCTTTTTGGCAGCCTTTTTGGTACCAGGTAAAGACATAACTGGTAGCAAGTCTGCAGATCGTACGCGACGATCACTCAATCGCTGTTTGTAGGTTTTCGTGAGAGCAGTTTTGGTGGCACCTGGCACACCTTCAAGTAGTCCCTCTCCACCCTGCACGTAATATCCATGATAAAGTTACTCTGAAGAAAGTAATATTCCATGAAATAGAAGAAATTCATACTTGAGCATAGTTCTTAGCAATCCCCTCCACCAAATCCCAAATGGCTTGAAAGAAAACGATGCGTCCAGGATACGACTGCAGGCGCAATGGTCTCTTTTATCAATTAAAAGACAAAAGATAAAACCCACTTTGACGTCGTGTTCTACATCTGAGAAGACAAGACTTAAGCTACAAATCCATACCTTCAATGTAGACATACTAACAATAGTATCCATATCTTCTTGGTCCAGTGAATACTCTTCCAACAGATCTACCACTTGCTGCACTGCCTCATCCTGCCATACATATTCTCACAGCCAACATATTATAACCACTGCAAATGATTCGTTATGAGACGGAGAAAAAAAAAAATGTCATTTAAAGAGTTGGAAAGCAGAACTAGACAATCTATGTCTGTGATTATAGCGCGAAACGGCACCACAGCTCAACAAAATGAAGAACAATATATGTTGAAGATTCAAGAATAACTCCCACAAAGCTGGATGAATTAGTTGGTGATCAGGCATAGAAGCCACACTAGACACAAATACCAAGCCTAAGAAACATCTCCTTGTTGAAATCCAATACATGATTATTAGCCAGGTAAACTCTTGAAAAAGAAAAGGTGCTGCGAAGATAATTATTGAACAGAGAAACCATATTTACCTTCGGCAAGGTGTGCAGAGGCTGAGTCAGATGCATCGAGAGGAGAGGCAAGTAGTCTAATCGAACAGCCTCTCTGCATCAAACAGTTACAGGATGGAGCTTAGAGATCCACATTATCAATAAGCAGAGTAAAATTAACCGTTCTACATACAGTAGAATTGTACTTTCTTACCCCATAACCGTACGGTGTCATGTTAATGAAAATTAATATTATCGCGCAAATACAGTAAGAATAAAGTAAGAATAGTGATACACAACCATTAGAAAGTTTGCTTGAATTGATGATAAAGAAGGGATAAGTTTGTAAGTGTACCTGGTGGGTTCGCATATTCGAGAAGCCAGCATATGGACATGAACATCCTCAAGGAGACGAGTTTTTTTGCCAAACGTTGAGTTCTTTCCAAGCCATCCTCCAAATCTATTGAAGTTACGTTCACCCTGCATTTAGTTTCAATTCGGTCATACATGTGTTCACTAACAAAGAGAAGCAACCACCGGTATTTGAGTGTAAGTGGGATGTCAGGAATTCTGACGTCAGCATCCTTTTCCATATGATGCGTGGAATATAAACAACTGAATACGCATGACCATTAAATTACAAGTAAATATTTGCTTCGCCATACCTGCACCAGCACCTCTCGCCGGCCATGTATATATGCAGCCCTAACAGCCCCCGTTACCACACCCACACATTCAGGAATTTAACTCGGCGAACCGAAAATATTTTCAATACATTACATGAAATCTAAGCTTGTCTACCTGCACATCGACGAGGCCGAATGCTTCCACATAAATCGCGAGAATTACCCACTAAGTAGCACAAGAAAGTGAAATATAAGCTGGCAAATTACTGACACAGATAGCATGGAAGTCCTATCTCACATGGTTCACTTCAATTTTGAATCAAATTATTGAATCCCCTTGCACTTGAGCCTTGAATAACAAACATGGATGCCAAACCCAAAATCTGTACGTACAGAAAAGAAGTGCGGAATAGGAGGTTGAGGTGTACATACGGGATAACGGAAGACATAAATGCACCCATCTGAGCATGCTGCCACTGTCGAAATCTATGAATTTGAACATTTACTATGTCACCTTCTGCTATGCTCAAGGCAGTCCGCGCTATGGCATCCATACGAGCAGTCCCGCTATCATCCCGGCCACCGGGCCCACAATAATTCAAGTAATTCTCCTGAAATTCACACGGAAAATCAATGCACGTTTGAATTCAGAAAGTAAATACGCAAACAACGAAAGGGTAATCCAACTATTCCTGGATACCAAACCACCATTCCGTAGAAGCTGCTTTAGTTCCAATCCAAGGATATTAATTGCAACAAACTGGACAGAATCCAGTACGATGTAAACCTCAATCAGAAAAAGAAAAGAACAAAACAAAATAAAACAAATCAAAAAAACTTCACTCTGCATAATAAGCAACAATGGAACATCTATTTTAAGCGTACAGCATTTATACTATTTAGAGTCTTCGATTTAGGAGTGAGTACGGCAGCTAAGTAATAGAAGAGATTCCAAATTAGGTAAATGATACCGCTGGGAATAAGATAGGACACCTGCACGAGGAGAGGCACAAGGTCCATATCTGACATTGCTGCATCGATACGCTCATCCATTCGTAAACGTCCTCCCTCAAATCCTAATAACCTAAAGCAAAAATTGATTATAAGTCTCATGTCTCGTCCTATGAGTGCTCCATACACAATATGAAATACTTCTTCATAAATTCATATTCAACTCATCTTTCTTGTATTGCAAACTACCTCTTCTTGCACACATTCAACTTTCCATTCAAGTCCAAGAAACATTAAGAGAATCGAATATAGAATCAATTTTATCAATAGAGCTGAATGGTATACAGAAAAGATTATAAGATAATTATATGTGTAGTGTCTTGATACCAGCATTACTATTGCATCATCTAAACAAAGGAAGGACTGACAAGCAGGAGATACTGACTTGTCAACAGCTGAGAAAGGAGTAACATCCTCATCTTTTGCACTAGCCATGAGCCTTGTCCGCACATCTGAATACTTGAGACTCCTTGACCTTAGGCTCATATACTGTAACTGATTCAGAGCCATTCTCATGTCTCCATTCACCCTCTCTGAAAGCTCCTCCAAAGCTAACTGCACATCATTTCTTTTTCAGTCCTCCTAACATGTTCATCAATATGAACCATTTTTTCCATACAACCCATTGCACATACTAAAATTTAAAACGCTTGTAGTTTGCCAAAAGAATTCCTGTCCGCTAGCAACAAGATTGAAAAGAGGGCATCTCCAGAACTAGGCCTATCAGCATTCTAAGTGTAAGCGAAGGTACATATGCTTCAGATTAATCTTGACAACGACATTTGTTATCATCAGATGCAATATTATGTCAGACCAAGTTTTAACCTAGAGAAATAAGATACTTATCATCCTCATTCATGATGCGAGAAAGTACAAAATGCTGCAGTGGAGCTGAAGGAATGCACGTGGGTGAACTTTAGAATCGATTGATGTAATTCTAGGACCTCACAAAACTTACATCGTCAACTTCAAGTCCTTCAGATTTGGCAATTTGTTGCAACCTCTTGGCCATCTGAAATAGAAATACAAATAGATTAACTGTCAATTTTTTTGTGAATTACTGAAATTGATTTTCATTCTTCGATAGAAATTACGTGTGACAATGAATTCTTCAATGTTCAGCATCTAGAAATGAAATCTTGCAACACAACTTCTGAGAATTGGCAGTACCTGTTGTTTCGTTGGCTTTCTGAACGGTAAAGGCAGGCAATAGTTTATAAGGCTCTTTAACTTTTGACTGTACTTGTCATTGCAAATGCAGATAATAGGAATGTGGCTGGATTTAATGCTTAAAATAAGATCTGCTACTCCACCGCGATCACCACCCGACATACCATCCACTTCATCCATAATCAACACAGCCTTTCTGCGCACAGCACAGCACCAGTCACAAACTCTAGGACAACAGAATAGTTGTTCCAAAAATTCAGCACATAAAGTACAGAGGAACAGTAAGAATAAAGGGAAAACCAACAAAAAAAAAAATGTTTAATAGAAGAAGAAGACCACACTTATAAGCTTTAGAAGAAACCCAACCATTCCTTTCACCAAGAAACCCCACAGAATGAATGTTGTTTACCTCTCGCTTTTGCTGCCAAAACCCAATGACCTATTGCTTATCATTTCTTTTATGGTATTACTGGTTTTACCCCCTATACCGTTCTTTACATTGGAATCGGACTTTCCACGAGTGTCACTAGCATTTACCTGTTGCATAGACAAACATGACAAAGCAATTACTAATTTTATCTGACATAATTACATACAGAAGTGCATTTCTGAATGATATTGTTCATCAAGCGAGAGCAGTAAAAGCAACATGTTTCACCTAGTTTGTAACAAGAAGCTACTAGGAAAGTCCAAACATGCAGCATAAATCATAAATACCTCCAGAGCTTCGTAACCTAGTAGATCACAAACAAGACGCGCGGTTGTTGTCTTCCCAATCCCCGGCGGCCCACTAAGTAGCACAGCCTTCTTTTGAGAAGTACTGCTGCTTCCTTTCTTTCCCTTCACTGCATTTCCATGATGCTTCTCCCATTGTACGAGCCAGTCTTGAACTTGTTTCACCTATCATCAAATAACTATGAACAAAATATGGCGTGATTTTGACAAAGACCAGCACACACAAGAGGGGGGGAGGGGGGGGGGACCTTATAAAAACAATCAGTATTCGGTCAGTAAACAATCAGGATGCTTACTGATTACCAGAGACAGAGGGAACGCCCAAAGATACTTGACAACTCTAGACAACTCATACAAGTGAAACTGGCCCAATGGGATAAAGGTGAGATACCGTTGACAGTGAAGGGTGACATGGACTGCAACCAAATTCTTTTCTTTCAAAACCTGCTAACTAAAGCAGTCATCTGGCCACCTTCAAAACAGACCTAGAAGAGCAAGATGGACCGGGTTTTCCGGATCGAAAGATGGAGTTGAGATAAGTTACAATTGACTGGTTGCCGATGATGTCATTGATAGATTGTGGTCGATGTTTGTAAGGCCATGACTCTGTGCCAGATGCTATTGACTTTTCATTGCCCACTGATGATGAAGTTCCATTTGCAATCTTGCCCTTCACGTTCCTAACATCGTCTGTCTTTGGTATTATTGGTTTTATCACTTCAGCAGCTAAGACAACGAAACAATAAGGCCTCAGGGTGCAGTAGAATACAACTTTTATCGTTCCGTATTCACGTCAGACCAAGGAACCAAGAAAAAGAAAAGCGACAATGGCATAATTCAAAGCCACCAATATATTAGCGATTGGATGGAAATTATGTCAAATAGAACTAGCTACACTATGTACATCAGCTACTACAGACCTTTCTGAGGTTGAGCTGGCTCTGATGGACGAGGTGCCTGAGATGAGGTTGCTGCAGCCTTTGGCTTAGTTTTGCGAATCATCTCGAACAAGCCGTCTTCAGTAATAAACTTCACCCTGCGCATTCAACAGGTACTCAAAATCAATAATTCTCCACTTAGCCAGGCACCGAGGTTTCAAAAGAGGCACGACATACATTGAGGAAGTCGGCTATCACAGAGAGCTGACCCGAGCTCCTTCGCCTTCTGTGATTTGCGACCCCCGATATCTTCATCCGCTAACAAATAGTCCTGACACCATCAAAATACTGACATTACAGATTCTTCCATTACAGTCAAATACAAACGTGATGTCTGGTGGCAGAATGAACACTTAGTGAAAGAACACAGAAAACTGTGTCTTCACAAGACAAAATCTAGTGGAAATAAGGCTCATTAAAAAAATAGAAATGTAAAAATACGCACTGTTTTCTTGCTGACAGAGCCTGTGACGCGCCCACCATGAGATTTTATCAGGTGCTCGGCTTCCTCTCTCTCTAAACTGGCGAGTAACATCAAAAAGAGAAAACAATCAACCACCCAAATGCCGAACAGACATGTATGGGTAATAACAAATAAAGTAGCAAACGACATCACATCCAGAGCTCAGGATTCAATGAAAAAACCTTACATACCTATCCAGAGTCCCACTGATAACAAAGGTTAAGTTCGCCAAAGCATCGTCTGCGCCTTGGGGAACCTCCTGCTCACCACATTTTGAGCATCAGAAGAAGCATAATACTAAAACATCACATTATCAAGTTCCCCTACACCCTTACCTGACAGTCAGTTTATATATTCAGGAGGCTACAAAATTTCAAATTAAAAGAAAAATCCTCTCAGAAGGGTTGAAATCAGACGCCTCATAAAAAATATGTTGAAGTGGCAGATGTGAGAAAATTTAAAACACCTTTTCCCCTTTGTGAGGAGGAGCCTCTCTGGCGCCAAAATTGAAACCACCCCTTCCGCCTCCTCCTCCACGACCTCTTCCAGCAGGCGCTGGTTTGGAATCAGCTTGTGATGCAGAAGGTCCCCCTCCACCCCTTCCTCCTCGACCGGAAGGCTTCTTTGGAGAAGATTCGAGATCCTCATCTACAGATGTACTAGCACCAGGTGTATCACTATTACCTCTTCCTCTACCCCTACCTCGCCCTCCTGTGGATGTTTTAGCAGGAGGAGCATCAATATCCATGTCGTCAGTTACCTTGACATTTGATTCTCCTCTCCCCCTCCCTCTTCCTCTTCCCCTTCCCCTCCCCGCTGACGACAATTTCTCATCGCTTACCTCCACATTTCGTATCTTTTTGGTGGGAGGCTTGTCGAATTCATCATCTTCGGAGCCCGAATCAACACCCTTAAACCTTTTACTGGACCCAGCACTGGCCTTTACCGACAGTGGCTTGCTTTCTTCTTTACGGTCTTTATCCTGACTTGCTGGAGAGGAGCTTGGAAAGAACTTGCTGGTGGAGTTATATCTACCCGTAGTCCCATTCTTCTCCCCACCTTTGCTAGTGTCCTGAAAAAATTGACCAGCAGAAATTCATAGTTAGAAACCTAGCTCAAATCAAATGTGCAGAAAAGCGATCAAATCCACCACGGGCGAGGTGAGAGCTCACAGTATTGTTGGAGACTGCACATTACCAAGACAGAAATTGAGAGATGTACTCACATTGCTTGCAGGCGTTGCAGCTGGGGTAGACTTGGCAGGCTGCTTCATGAACCATTTCCGTATGTCACCCGATGCCATTGCTTCGAAACCTCGAACTAAAGTCTGTTCCCCCAACTTATGGCGTCGTCCAACCACCTACCTCAAACCTAAAGTTTTGGAAACACACGAACGAATATCTGTGTTAAGGCTGCTACCGTAAAAGAAAACGCACGTCCATGTACGCTATATATACAAATGATCTGACATAAACTGAAATTAAAAACCGCCACATGAATATTTTCGTCAAAAAAATCTCAAAATGCACTTGATTTCAAGAAATGAAATCGATCAATCCATCCGCCCAAAAAAAAAAAAATACCGTATACCGCGAAGTAAAAGACACTCCTCAGAGCGTAAAGAGACATATCAATCAAATTCTTGGAACGTTGCGAGCATTAGTGCAGGAAAGCATTGTAACACAAGCTGAGCCAAGCTGCAATTCCATCACTACCGCCAAAAAATATTCATTTTAGCAACCTAAACACAAGCGACGTCATGAAATAACAGTGACCAAGAAACCCTTGCTGAAAGCCAGAGAACTCACCAGTTGCCAGTGAGATTAAAGTAGATGATGTTGGAGTCGCCAAAACCAATGGACTCGAAAGGTACAAACAAGCAAGGACTAGTTTCCGCAAGCAAAGTTCAAATCCACATCCAAGTTGCTCCCGCCAAAGTGGTGTAGACCAGCGTTGAAGACCATGGCGTAACAATTAATGTCGGACTTGGTAGCGACAATGGTCCCAGATTTCATCTAGCCCCGGTCCTTGCAAGACGCACCTCGCACAATGGCCGCGACTCGACTCAACTCAACCAAGTCCAATCAACAACACTACCTAATATTATTTCTAAGGGAGACTTTCGTGATGCTGCATCGTTCGGATTTGCGGAAAATGCGTCGGGCAGAGGCGATGGCGAGTCAGGCCACAGCGCGACACAGGGGAAGTAGAAACGCGGGGCGGGGATGTGGCGCCCGCAGCTTGTTGAGGTTTCAAAAGCTGTGGTCTGCGTTGCCGAAGGAAGGGCTTCGAGGGCAAACCAGCAGCTTCCGCTAGAAGCGAGAACGAATGCTTGCGCATGGATCCCGATATTCCACGCTGTCCGCCACGTCGTCCAATTTTTCGGTCCCCATGACCACGTCGGATCGGAGGGTTGATTCCACGAAATTGCCATTATAACCATTACCTGACCTCGAATTCATCCACGTTGCTGTAGTTTTCATCCGTTTGTGTTGTTATTAGTATACAAACTATTTCAGTCTCTTCTACATTTAATTACAGTCAGCATGTTCATGTTTAGCTAATCGTGTCGATATTGGAATTCCAACAAATGACTTTGCAAAAAACAAAAAAACAAAAAGGACAAGGAAATGTAAGATTTTTACAGGGATAATTTCTGAAGTTGCATAATATATTAATTGAGGTATTTAAAGAAGATCAAGGGCTATTTCAAGTTCCAGATGGATAATGTGTTTTATGACATATCATAAAAATCAGTGAACTCGGACCATTTAGAATTGGTCTTTACACTCACTTGAAGAAAATCAATCATTTAGTTTCCCATTTGAAGTTGTCGACATAGGTTCCAAAAACAAAACATATGTACTTTCCTCTAATTATAAATTTACAATTTCATTTACTTGATTAATTTTCTATCTATTCAACAATAAATTATATTCCAAATAAAGAATGACTTTTAACTTTATGAAAAAGTAATACCGAAGTTAATATATTAATTTAAATTCTTAATTTGACACAATTATTAAGTTGGTCTATAAAATTTCAATGAAACGGTGAAAATGTTTCTGTAATTTTATAGTTTAAATTATTCTATTAGTTGGTATCATGGAGAGGACTTTACTTAAGTGGTCAACCATCGTCAAAATTGCATCATATCCTTGCAACTTTAGAAGATTTGTAATGAAGTTTGTAGATATTCTATATTTGGATCCAAATGCACAGGAAAAAAGTTGTAGCAATACACCTTGCTTTTAGTAAAAAAAATGTTGTTAATTTAATCCTTCATAGAAACATTTACGATGAAGCAACATTAGTACAGTGTGCTCCTTATTTAATTTTTAAAATGTTTTCCCTCACAAACCCATCTCCCACTCTAATCATTTTATTACCTACGCTAATTGTTAATATAAAATCCCCTTGCTGTCGATTCTTCTCTGTGTACAAAATATTCCCTCTCACGAAAGTTTTCTTTCCGGGCACCATGCGGGACAATGGTTCATGGGAAGGCGGGCAAAGGGGAAAGAAACCGGGTTGTGGAAAGAAAACTGGGCCGTGGAAAGAACGATCGGCTGTGGAAAGAAATCAGGCCTAAGAAAGTAAAAGAGAAAAGGGAAAGGGAAAGAAGCGAGAGAGAGAGAGAGAGAGATAGAGAGAGAGCGAGAGGCGTTGCGGGGGGAGTTTCTTGCAAGCAAGGAAGCCTCTGCACAACAACAGATTCCTCGTCGTGGGTCTCGTTCCGAAACGTCTCAAATGTGCGCCAGAGCCTCGCAATGTGCGCTCCACGCTGAGTCCTGCCACACCCACAAGCTATATGAGCCGAGAGTTGCAGAGACGCGGCGTTCCTTGAGGCCTTAGATGATGCCATGTACCAGCGTGGTTGCCAATCTGGGTGTCAAGAGAGGTGCTGATCCGTCGTTGGAGAGGAGTGTCAATTGCCAGTCTTGCCCGCCTGGATGGATCTGCAACGGAAAGATTCGGACCTGCAGGATGATGTGAGCGAGCTCGAACTTCGTGGCGTGTTGCTTTGTGATGTCGATTGGATGCAAATGTCTTGTGAAGAAAGCTTTTGGTTGAGTATTTGAGTGACTCTCTCGTCCCCCTCCCCCCCCCATTGCTAGTAACGTTTGTTACATATTTTAATTTTTTTTACTGCAATTGTATTTGTTCTTGAAGATTTCGAACGGTGTGTGTGATTGATTGCACCACTGCAGTCATCAACCATGGAGTGGAGGTCTTTGATGAATTCTGCTGCTGAGCATTGGATGGAGTTTGGGGGTAGGATTTTTAGATGGTTTTCGTAAAATATTTAGCGTGACGTATGTTGTGGATTTGGAGTTTGGCTTGGTAGCTTGCCTGGTACTCAAGGGTCACAAAGTGTTTGTGAATTATGCTATGCTATGATGTGAATCATGACAATGTTGTCGTTTCGGCAACAGATGGAGGGTTTTGACGACTTTACGATAGCGTCGCCGTGGGAAAGGTAAGTCTAATCTCACGATTATGAATTTTAAACACTGACTTGATGTGACGGATTTGGATTTTGAAATTTTTACTGCCAGTAGGGTCCACGTTCAAGGTGGCTGTTCACGAGGGGTTCTCTATACAATTCTGCAAGTTCCACTATTGAGGCTATTTCTTCGTTTTTTAGGTTTATTGCGAGAACAGAGGAAATTCTACGGGAATGGCAAGCCGCTTCGGTGTCCGAGCTTATGGTGAGTTACAGTAATGATTATAAGTAGACTTTGTAATGTAAATGGCGACTCAGACTATTTAGATGCAGTCATTTGGGACAGCCTGTGGTTCTAGAAACTGATGGATTGACTTGAGAAATTTACCATGTCGACATTGTGTGCATATGCAATCAAAGATCTGAACATGTAGGGCTACTTGTCAAGTCTGGTACTGCCACAAAATCGTGTCTAGATTTTCCTTTACTAGGACACTTCAATATTTTGACTTCAGACCTAGACATATCTTTGGTGGAATAGCATTCAGGTACAGAGGTCGAAGGCGCACTTGGGCTCCATAAAGTTCACGAAGAGCTGCCTTATGGCTCCAAAAACTATGGCATTGATTTCTATTTCGAGCCTGACGATCAGAAGCGTGAGTGTTCAATTCGTGAGCTTGTGTGATAATGGGTCACAGATGCAGAAATATCATATTCAATTATTTGAAACGAATCAAGCGGGTCGCATGAACATTTATCATACTCCTGTTCACCACATATCACATCTGACTGCGAACACAGATTTCCTCCTCTTAAAACTCAGGTAGGCAGACGATAATGTGATTTGGCCTGGTATTTGCAGGTAACAGGGAAGAATGGACCGACGGTTTACATCCCTTGCAACTTTCTTTCGGAGTTGTGGATTTTTTGGTTTGTCTCTTATTTCTTACTCACCAACTCCATGCTGAAGTGGCTGGTCACCTTGTACGTGTAGTGAGGGCTGTCAAGTGCTTTAGCTACTAATCAAGTCATCGTCATTGAGTATCTGCTTGCCACCATGCATCTCAAACATACCCTACTGCTGAAGTGGGACTGTGGGTAGAACCTAGCAGAGATTTTTTCTGGAGCACAAGAAGATGAGCATCTGACTATGTTGCTGGATGCAGGTCATCTCACCCATGAGCATGAGTGGGATGGTGCTGGATGCTCCAGAAGCGACCTTTCTCTTGAGTAGTTTAGCTATCGCTCTATCAAACTGTGGCAGGTACTTCTCGACCCATAATCCCTTTTACAGAATATCTGGATATAAAACTGCTTATTTATATTCCTTTTTGAATTTTTCATCTTTAAATTTGGGCACCGCAGAGGAAACAATTAGGGTTCCACCTTATAATTTACAGATACTGATGAAATTTCATCACTGCAGCTCTTAATCATTCTAGTAGTCTTTTTTTTGATTGCTGCATGTGACGATATTTTGGTCTCCCTGTGGCTTTATTAACTGCAAAATTAGTGACTAGTGATTGCTCAAGAATCCGGTGCATCGTTTTGACACTGTCAGAGGGTTAACAATAGTAACAGAGTGTTTTGTCTTGGTAGTGACTTGCCAGCTTTTGTCCCTGTACATGACCCGACACGCAAAGCGTATTATGGTATCAGGGGAACCAAAACCTTCAGTATGCGATATGAGACAGACCGTCTGGGGAGCCGAATCCCAGTCGAATATATGCATCTAGAGGGTTTATATAATATATTCAACACAAAAGTGGTAAGATATTACCGAATGCTTCGTGCGTGCGCCAAGTCCCTGTCAAGCTTCAAACTTCATTGACTTAGACACAAACTCGTCCGTTGAAATTTCTGCTTTTGTAAGGATCCTGGGATGTGTATGCGAACCATCCGAGTGAACGATTCTTTTACTCGTTAAATCCATGTTTACTCTGTCGCCTTGACTTGTTGAAATGTCTTCACCTAATATTGGCATCATGTGGGTGTGAAGGCGTTCGGAGCACGACCTGCAGACTTTTCTCAATTTGATGTAGAAATTACTATGAAGTTAACATATAGGACACCCATGCCAGGCTTCAAATTTTTTGAAGCAAATGCCGAGCCCATTTTAAATTATGATGGAGATATGCTGGAAGAGTTGGCTTGGGATGAGGATTGTGCTTGGGCTGAATGGCATTCAGTGGAAGATCCTGTTAAAGGTATAGCTTTCAACTATAGTTCCGTTTCTAATTCTTACATTCCATTAAGCACCAGAAAAGGGTTTCTCGTTACGCACACTTTCCACTGTCAACTTTTTTTAATATGACCACGAGACATAATCTCTATGTTGACATTCGGATTTGGAATTGCTATGCATGGAGTGAATAGGATATGAACTGATTTGCACCTGGAATAAACGAAGTCTAAAGGATGCCTCGGAGGCAGCAGAATTTGAAAAGCTATCAGCTACACAAGCTGACAAGTGGGCACTTACTATTGTCAAGCATCAGTAAGTAAAACATTTTTATGTTAGTATTTAGTGGCAAAGAATATGAGATTCGGGTTCTGACGAACGCATTTTTATGGTTTTGTTGATAGACAATGGACAATATTGCGATGGAATTGTATTAGCCCAACATGTGCTTTGCATTCTAATTTAATGATTTGAATTTCCAATTTGTTTTTGGGAGTAAGTCGAAACTTGAGATGCCATGAATTTTTTAAACTTTGTCTTTCGTCTAACTAGGGCATTCTAATCATCGATATTGAAGAAGCGGTATCTTCGCATCTTTTAATTCATATTCAAGCCTCTGTTCTGTGGTTGTCATCAACATGATGGCACGTCATTTAATGCAGTTCACTTTATTTATTTCGTTTCTGTGCAGGACAGCCACACAAGAAAATGATTCCGCTGGCTTTACAGGACGTCTGCGAGCTTTAGTCAATGCCTTTCATGTGTCCTCTCAAGCGCATTTTGTCGAAGAGTTTGCAGCTGGTGCAAATACTATCCTTTTGTCAGTCATCTCGCTGCAGTCCTCATTTTCTGCAATTCAAGCCCTACTTGAAGTTATAACAGTATTGAAAATTTCATTAAAATCAAAGTGCTATTAACATTTTCATAGAAGTATTTACTTTCTGTTCAGCTGGAAGTCTTCAAGCGCTCATCCTTCCACTCCAAATGTGACCTCTCTAATTTGACCAGCATAGGTTCCAGTACACTTTTGGATATCGACGTGCGAACCTTGCAATAAGCAGACTTTGGAATTCAGAATTCTTTTATTTTATTTTATTTTATTTTATTTTATTGATATGTGAAAGTCAATCTAGGTATTGGCACTAACAGATCGTTCTGGCTATTGCTGTAGATGCACCATCGGTCAAACATGTAACACATCATCACATGGTTCCACCACCAACTGTTTTGGAGCGTGTCATTAAGGATCTATTTGAGGACGGTAATGGCTTCCTTGTGTAAGAACCATGGATTGTCTGCGCAGTGAGTATTTGTTGGCGTCATTAAATGACAGATGCGGTTAGCATTCAGTATATTTCTGTGAAACCTATTTTGCATACCTTTTTGATCTTGAATAAATGTACCTTGGTCAAAAGCACCATTCAGCAAACATTGTTTGATAGCTTGTTTTCGCATCCACCTACTATTCCAGTAGAATTAGTAGCTGAAACCGTGATATTTTGGTTTTATTACAGAATCCTTTGAAGATCAACATGAACAATCCAATCATAGAAGCGTTCTTGGTGTTAAAGCAGCACCTACAGATTCTCTATTTTCTCGGTTCTGTCTTCATGCTCTCCGATTTGGCACTTGCAATATTCGAGGTACTTTTTTTTCAGTTGTCATTTGTCATTTGTCATTTTTATTTTTATAATCTTTGAGATATTTCGGACACGGCTCTGCTGTTTATACTCTATCTAATGCCAGTTTAGTGAAAGCGGTTCTAATTTGTCTTCTACAGTTTTTCTTTCAAGTCCGTCTGTAAGATTTTAATGAGTGCGTCGTCATGCAGCTATAGCTGTGTTATGGATTGACTTTGTCCGAGAAGTGCGCTGGTGCTGGGACGAGGGGTACCGGCTGCCCAGAGTTTCTGTCGTGCATAGATCTCCCGATCTGGAATCTTGTATATTGCACCAAAAGCTGCAAATGGTGATGCTTTGCAGACAACAAATCTTTATTGCACTGATGCCTTCGTACACATTCTTGCTATGCATTGCTTGAAACATTCTTATTGCTTGTGTAAAGTGTTGTTAACGAAGTTATCAACAAGTTCCTTGCATGCTTCACAAATAGTTACCTGCAGAGGTGGATGTTCTTAATGCTGGATTCGTCTGTGTGCTAATGAGATAAGTGTTTCCGTCACCAGCTTGCGCTCTGCATCGAGGAGAAAGCATTACAAGGTGTTAGTGAGAAGGTTGACAACAGTCATGCTGTTCAGGTGAATATTTTCTTTGATGCATCAAACTCTGTACACTTTCCATCAGTGGTGTAGAATCGCTTCACGAACCTACAATGTTGGCTGATGTTACAGGATTTGACAGTGAACGGAACAAAAGAGACAGGTACGAAGATAGAATTGTTTTCTGAAGATCCTGATTCAGGAAGGAAGGGTTCAGCTGGACCCGTGGGCAAACTGATGCTCCTTAAAGCCAATCGGAGTTTGCATGCGCCTCTCACACAGGTCCAAGCTCCTACTACTCCTAATTTCCAAACTGATGTATAATGCTATTCTAGATTCTTTTTCATAATCGAAATAAAGGATTTTATGTCTTCAATGGAGTGTCTGATAGTAAGTGATACAAAGCACAAATCTCTAAGCTTTGAAAGTGTGGACAAACGTTATTCAACAAAAAACTGATTGTTATGTTGTTTGAAAATGTTCGAAGCATGGTAATACCAAATTATTGAAAATTTTAGCTGACAATCTGAAGATATGTGACTGAAATGGTATTTGTTTGTTTCAGAAACTTCCCGTCTTCACCGAGGATATGCTGGAGGAACGTGAGCAAACCTTATCCACATTACGGAATTGGGTATATTTGATTGGTTGAGACTCTTAAGAAATCGCACTTTTTTCTCCTGCAAACCTGGCCTTTCAAAGTTCGTAGGTTTACTCGAGTGCTGCTTCATTTGTTGTGTTTGGAATCGAAAATACGATTGGTACATGCTTGAGTTATATCGTATCTAATACAATTGTGCTTGACTACAGGATAATTTTACAAGGATTCGTCATCAGCGTAATGTACTGGCTTCAGGTTAGTATCATACGATTGGTGTGCGTTCTATCAATACTGTGTATGCTGTTTCGAGATTCAGCAAATAGTGCTTTTGTTTCCTCTCTTTGCAATCGATTTGCGTGTCAAACTTGTGAGCTAGTGAAAAATCATGCGATTAATGAAACAACTTCGTGTCAAATTTGATATATTTGAACTATGCCATCCTGCATAAGATTCTTCTAATCGTTAATACGGAAAAATTTCCAGACATGGCTGCATTCAAAGCAGCGAACCCAGGAGCCGTATTGGAAGACTTCATGCAGTGGTATTCTTATGAAAAGGAGCTTCATCCTGTAGATTTCGGAGAAGGATACCTTCCTGGTTTCACAGAACAAGATGAAGCTGCTGAGAATGGGAAGCCACTCAAAACTTTGTCTCATCCAGATAATGTTGATATCTGGGATAGTGTCGATGCTTGTGCTGCATTTGACCAGAAACCTCTTTTCGACTACACACGTGAAGCTGAAAAGGCAAGTTGCTGCAACCCAGAAGCTCTTCCCCAAATTTTAACACATTTGTAATGATGAAGATTTTGTGGGAAACCCAAATAAGTCTGCAGTACAGAAGTGAACGTTTAGTGTTGGTAGTAACGTTATTAGGAATCGCATGATTTGCAGGTTCTGCATTATTTGGAGACAATCCGGCCACATCTGTTACTGGCACAGATGCTAGCCTGTTCTTTTGCTGTAGCAGCCCATACATTGGACCGCAGTGTAAACAACTTGAGGGTAGCAACCCTTACCTGGGAGCTGGAAGAACTGTCTGCTTCTATGGAATCTGTATTACCATCTCTAGAAGACTCTGTTAAGTTTGGTAAGTGCTGTCAAGAAACAGCTCTAAAATTATCTTCTAAAAATATCACCTGTTTAGGACAACATTTTTTAGTTATGCATCTCGATCACTCCGAATGAAATACATCCAGCAGGGTATTTTTAACGAAGTCATAATTGAGCACTGATGTTGGATTTTCTGAACAGGTTATAGGACGCCTGAGGAAGCAGCTGATTGGCAAAATAAAATTCTGCAATTGTGTGCAGTATTTCAAAGAGTAGAAGAGAATGTGATTCTTGCAACATCTCTGGGAAAGAAATTGGGTAGTGCTCCAAGATTGCTTGCGGCTCTGATCAACCACCATATCGAGCCACACAAAGTCCCTGTTGCAAGAGTTTTTGTAGAGAAGGCGATGACTTCAAATCGGTGGAAGGTTTGTGATTTGCTGTATTTGTAGCAACTTCAAAACCCTGTTTCAACTCGTTGCAGAAGTTCACTTATCACGGTGCTGTAAATTCACAACTTTGATGCATTTCTGCAGTATTTGACAGCTTAAAATGACGTCTATTGTTGGCAGGACACCGATTCTTCAGATGAAAGGAAGGTAGTTGCAAGCTTATTTACTATATTGAACTCTGATGCTAGCTGGCAACCCAGTTCATCAATGGGTCATCTGCTTAATGGGCACGAACCTGCTTTTCGAGAGGTGATTCTATTCTATCCGAGTAATTTGGAAGAGACATTAGCAGACTTGGAAGAACATCAACCTGAACAAGTGTATTCTCATAGAATGTATGTACATGGTACCTTAAACGAAATACAAGTAGCTCATGTAGTAGCATCCATTGACTAGTTTGTGTCATTGTAAAGATTCTTCCCATTTTACAATCTGTAATAGCTCAACGGTGCAGAGGATTGCAAGTAGGCACATTTTTACCATTTTTTTGTGGTATTCGTTTAACACGGACGCCTAGTATAATTACAATGTATTATTACTGTCCGGAGAATTTAATCACCACTGATAAAAACAACGAATTTTCTACTGTGTATTGGTTTAGCAGTCAAGAAACAAGCTGTGAACACAGCTTGTAATGTTGGGTAGTTAAATTACCATTACCGGTGGCATTGTCTTTTCAAGTTTCGTTACTGAACATGCCATTCGCAATTGTATTGTGGCTTACATATACTAACCTTTGGTTGTAGCTTTATGTAGATTTGCAAGGTTTGAGAAAAGAGAGTGCATTGAATCTATGTGCAATAAATAGTATCCACTCCAACTGAACAAACCATCACGAATTCAGTTGGTGCTGAATGGAAGTGAAAATTAGAGAGTATGTTTGTGTTTCTACATTTCAGCAAAGCTTGAAGGATAATGACATCAAATCAAAACATGAGAGTCCTTCATGGTATGCAGTTGTCAGTGACTTGATTTTATTATTCGCAGTGTAATAAATAGCATTTGTTGTTATTATTATCCTCCTTGCCCCTTCAGTTTTCACCATGGTGTGTTTCGAAGTAGTAATCACAATTTAAGATTTATGATTTTTATGGATTTTTTACATGTTTTGTTGCACCTGATCTCAACCAAAACAAGGTATTGTAGATTTTCAAAAATAATTTCACTTTTACTTGTTTTCCATGCAGCAGTAACTTTTCCTTCTTAATTTTTTTTTTTAAAACAGAAATACCTTCTGCAGGGTTTTTCCATTTATATTTAATACGTCTTAAAATCCCTTACTGGGTTTTTCATATAGAATGACTATAGTTTGATGTTATAGACAGGATATGAACAACACCTAATGAACAGAGTTGAGGATGAATGTGGAACGAATGAAAACTCTCGTCTCTATGACGAAGCCGCCGCGGTCAAGGGAACAGCGTGGTCCCAGGAGACGGTCATGGGAGCGTTTCACGGTGAAAGGAATCGGCACGCGGGACCGTGCCGATGGTCTTCCTCCCCAAACCTTGCTCCGGAACCGCGGCCACTGCTGCTGCTTCTTCGTCTTCTTCGTCTTCTTCACAATTTTTGCAGAACGTGGGAGCTCGTTTGCATTCGCTGCCGTTTCTATGAGCTCCATCGAGGTGTTTTCCACGCCCGGCGAGGTTCTGGGCTCCCTTGCTGTTTACGCACCTGGGCCTGGAACCTATGCATGGGGCGGCAATGTGGTGTCATCTGTTGTCGGCCTCCAAAGGGTCGTTCCACCCTCCCCTGACGCTCCCGATCAGGTACCGGATTACGCAATCTGTGGTGTCTTCATCTTCTGAATAATTTGTTTCAAACCTTATAAAATCCCATTCATTGCATCCTTTTGGTGTTAAATATGTGAAAAGCGACATTTCGTCTGGGGTTTTAGGGGTTTAAGGATGGTGGCAGAGGTAGGAGATCGTTGCATTGCTTGTCAAGGATTCTAGGGAGTTTTTTTTTTTTTTTTTTTTTTTTTTTTTGGTACAGGACATGGTTAGGAGACAGAAGAGAAATTTGCAAGAAAGATTTCGCCCGACTGGAGATGAGAGGGATTAGAGTGCAGGGGAACGGATATCAGGTTTTAGGTCGTAAACAGAGTTGTTTCCTCCTAATTCCAAAGTAATGGTCTCAAGTGTAGAACTCTGTGTTCAATTGATAAAGCTAGGTTTGGATTATCGTCAGCTGTAACCGAGGATCGCGAATTTGTTTTGCCCTATTGGATGACATGTATCCATCCAATATGCAGTTGATGTTGCGAATCTCTCTTTAATGAGAGCACATTTAATGGGTTCAACACCGATTGGAATGCGTTCTATCGCTCATCACGCTTTCGTAACATGTGCAGAGGCCAATCATAGAGGTTAGCAGGGAGAAAGAACAAGGAGCAGTACCAGGACCTGGTGCACAGGTCACTGCCAAGGTTTGTGATTTCAGTCCTCTCAATTTTGGTATCTGATATACATGTGGAGCCCTTGTCGCTGGGTGATCATCTCTGGAAACAGTGTCATCTTGGGATTCTAGACGTCTTCGTAATGGTTGCGGTAATCAAACCACTGAAGAGAAGACCATCACATTCTCCCAGAATCTTTTTCAGAGACTCGAGGTGGAGAGGTGAGTTTATTACCTTGACAATGATACATGTACGCTGCAGATTAGGAAGGTACAACCAAGACAAGCAATCGCGGACATTCTATGTGTGGGGACGAGGGCAGTTAAGGAGAAATTCAGAGGCCTTGTCAGGTATCCTTATATCTGTTTTTTTTTTTTTTTTTTTTTTTTTTTTTTGCTAGGATTGTTCAAGACAAGCTTTGAACTTATGAGGTCAAGTGTGCGGAATACTTCTATGGAACAATGTACTGATTCTGGATGTAGGCAACAAGATGTGCGAGCAACTGAGATAGATAAGGTGGACATGCACCTATCATTTCGACCTGGTGATATCATAAGGGCGGAAGTTGTATCCTTTATTAATACTGTTGTCTTTCCTTTTCTTAGACTCATATACTACTGTCCACGTCGTTGAAGCTCACGCAAGCGTGAGCTTGTGCTTCATGCCTTGTTTGTTGTATGTCTTCTGCTATACTTTTCTGGGGCCAGAGTAGTGTAAAATGATGTGATTGGGCATGATAAGGTGTCCTTAACCATGAAACTCTGCAGCTTTCGCTTGGAGATGCTCGAGCCTACTTCCTTTCCACTGCCAAGAACGAGTTGGGCGTCGTATCTGCAACCAGCGACGCTGGTAAGCTTTCTGGTTTATTTTTGAGTCAGCATGGTGACCTTACGTAGTCTTATTCATTTATTGTTGAAAATTAATTAACTAATTAATCAAATTTCAAGTGGTAATATTCCCATCTGGCAGTGCTCGAGTACGGGTGGTGATGTAGGTATACAAACTATAAAAGAAGACTGATTCAAACACATGTCTGTGTTCAGGTGCACAGATGGTGCCAATCAGCTGGCAGGAGATGCAATGCCCTGTAACTTTTCAGAAAGAGTTTCGCAAGGTAGCCAAGGTAGTATAACATGCATCATGCAGTGAGATTTAAAAGACTTGCTAGCATTCTGTAGCCAGTCGTGTGTTTGGAGGACGAGACAAAGTCAAGATCCTGTGCAAGTAACTATAAGCGCCAGTTCCAACGAAAGCTGTACTAGTGCTATCAGATCTTGGAGAACTAATGGCAGAGAGAGAGGAGAGAGAGAGAGAGGCTTTTTACACAGGAGAAGGCTTAGCACGCCACTCGGTGCTGTGGGATGGAGTACAAGATGTCAACTTGTTATCAATCCTGTGAATTTTGAACCCGGGTTCATCGCTGCATAAGCCCAGCCATGGAATCCTTTAGGCTTGGGTGGAGCATTGACATAAATCAACGCCTTACCATAGCCCAACAATCCTATTTATTTTGGTGTGTCATTGAAATACTAAATGAAAATTTATTGAGGATTATCTAAGGTAAAATATATGCTTCTTTGCAACCTCCTAAATTAATGCATTGCATTCAATAGTCGATGAAATGAATATCAAGCATAAGCATCATAATTTCAGAACTCGCAATGTGTTCACAATTTGTGTACTCATTAACAGAACGTTACAAATTTAATTTGATAAGTAAAAACGATGTCGGTGAGTGTGGAATAAATTAGTGTTGACAATACTTGAGCATTCGAAAGAAAATTTGGGATCCAAAGTTAGCTTTCATTTTCTTGCAAATGTATTGAAGTGGGTGTTGAGTTTCTAATGGAATCCAAGCGAACACAAGCACTCGGTTGAACTCATCTTCCAATAGGTTAAGATGAATGTACAGTTTTAGCAAAATCAAACTGCAGCAATATTAAACATTCATCTTGAGACATGTAACGTCCCACCACGTACTTCAGCATCAGATTTATTGTGAACTATGTAAAGGAGAGGTTTCCATGTTCTAAATAATTCTTTAATCAAATACTAAATAGCTTATAAATTGAGTAGTTTTATAAATAAAAAACTAAAATCCATCAATTTTCAGTAAATTTATAAAAATCTTTGAATAAAGAATATACTTTGCATGATGCTTGTATTTAGTGGCATCTAGACTAGTGTGGATATATATATATATATATATATATAAAAGAATTCATTCATTTAATTTCTTTTAAAGCAAACTAATAGAGATCCACATGTGAATGTAAATTATAAATATTAAAATAAATAAACAAAATTTATGTTTGTAGTTGCAATGATTACTTTGTAATTCTATAATATGGATTAAAGAAATAAAATATAAAATTTATTATATAATCAAAATCCTAAACATTTCATTATTTGTACAAAAGTATAATTCTTGGACAAAATACATGATATGCAATTACCTTATATACATATATATATATATATATATATATATATTTAAAAAATTAGAATACACAAATCTTTTCTTGTAAATTTATCCCAAAAGGTTTTAATGTAAAAAGCATTTTATTGTGAATATGAAGGGATATTTGGCACATGGGGAGAGGGGTGTCTATGCAATAAAAGAGAGATGTCTATCTAGCAATTTCTTATATTCATTTTTCTTTAAAAACTTCTCACATCTTATTAAAGATTTAATTATTGTAAAGATTTTTCAAAAATACTTTTTGGATTTTTAAAGCTTCTATAGTCTTTTATAATTTTTTAGGATCTTTAATAGTCTTTTAAAGATTTCCATAAAAGACTCTTTTAGTTTCTTTTAAATGTTTCATAGATCTTTAAACCTCCCCTAGGAGCTTCATTAAAATATAGTTACTATAGTATAGTTAGGAGACAAGGCAAAAAATGCATATGTCTTGTCCATACAAATTTTAAGGCAATTCAAGTAATGATTTCTTTTTATTCTTCAATCAAATCAAATTTTTAATATTGGTATTTATTTCTCTTAAAAAAAATAATCTCTAATTATAATATCTATATTATTTTGACTTAATATAATTAATAATATAATATTTTCTTAACATCAATTATTTATAAGATAATAATTGAAATATACAAAGTTAAAGATTATAAAAAAATTATGAAGATAGATTAATAATCTTATTAAATAACTTCTATTTAATAATAGAAAATATTATTTCGAATTTTATTTCTTGGATTAAAAATTCCAAATAAATTATATTTATTTTTTTTAAGACAGATCTTTGATAAAATGGTTTCACATAATAAATAAAAAATTATATATATATGTATATATATATATATATATATAGAGAGAGAGAGAGAGAGAGAGAGATACTTGTTTAAAATTGATATTAGATTTATTGACCTTATCGAATTGCTACTTTAAAATAATAAAAATAATAATGAATATATATTCTTTAGAATTTAATCTATTAATTGAATAGCAGAGATAAAATTCAGGTATGTAAATGGACAAGTATAACACTACTTTTGACCAGTGAGAAGCTATAGCAATGGTTTTGTAATAGGGTTTAACAAAGCTATTGGAAATTTTATTTATTAATGTGGTTATATCAATTCAATTAATAATGTTGTATTAATGCCAATTTGTAAAATTATTGTGTTTTTAGAATGTTATTGCATGTAACAACAATGGTTACTAGTTATATTATCATAACAAAAATATTTTCTTTAGTAGTGGCATAAGTTGGAATAGTTATAATAATTTAGAAGAGTTGTGTTCCAGTAAAAATTCTTTTGTAGATTGCTATAAAGTTATGATTATAGATTTAATTTTTTAAACTATATAATAGACATAAAAAATTATTAAAAATATCCAATTACATAATAAGATTAATACTTTGAATTATGTGTGCATATATATATATATATATATAATATTTATAGATATTTTATTTATTCTCACCTCTTATATAACATATAGAATATTGCTAATATATCATTGAATAAAGGTTAAAATTTTAAATATTATATTCTATAATTTTATTATAATTTTCTTACTTTAAAAATTAATTTAGTAAATCATAATTTATTTGTTTGTCTTTTCTTTTGTTTGGTTTTATTGTTTTAACTACAAATTTAATTAAAAAATAAGTCGATTTAAGGAATTAATACTAATTTTCTTCTTTGATATAAATATATTACAATGTAAGAGTAATACAATGTAAATTATCTCTCCTATTGACATAATTCTTATTTATGTTCACTTCATCTTAAAAATTAATCTTATAATACTCTTAATATTATCTTAATTGTTAAAAGATGGATATATTGTAAGGTTTTAATCATTTATTATTTTGCACAAACAAAATATTAAATGGACCACATCAAGTACTTGGCTACAAAAAAAAAATATATCTTCAAAGAGAATATTGTATTGAAATTGTGGACAATGAAATGACTTAGCACACTCTTCAATATCTTGTTTATTTAGATACAATTGATTTATAACAAACAATATGGTTTCCTAAATTACCAATCAATTCTTAAAGAAGGTAGTGCATATTATAAAAAATTATACATACCAAAGGCTTAAAAAGATATAACCAAGACTTTTTAGGAAGAAAAAGTAATTTGGAAGTGAATTTGATACAACTTAAGTAAGGACATCAACCTTCTTTAAGAAGATTAATCATAAAGTAATAAAGAATCCAATCTATCTTGCTTCCAACTTAGTAAGAAAATCTTTACAATTAAAGAACAAGGTGATAGACCACAACTTTTAATTCTTTTCATTAGTTGTAATCAACAAGCCTTAGTGAATTAGCTTCATACTAAGAAAAAATTAACCTAAATACCTAAAGAAAAAAATGCAAGGTGAAATGATTTGTTTTTTTCTTTTCTACATGATGTAAATAATGCTATCTCTTGAAGTTTTTGTTGAGCTCTTTTCAAGAGGTGGTTTTTAGAAAAAATTGAGAAGTTATGTGAAATTATGTAAAAAAAAAAAAACCATTGAATATGTATTTATATATATATATATATATATATATATATCACAATGATTAAAACAAAAATAAAACTAGACATATTTAATGAAAACTAGACATGTTTAGACTTATGATAAAAGAACAATTAGATCCATTTTATACCTTCTTCTCATTATATATTATATCCAAATACCAAGGCTTCCATAGAAGAAATTTTCAAAATGGACTTGTGGTATATAAAGAGCCTTTGAGACAACCTTGTGAGTTGATTGTAATATTTCATACCCTCATGTTCCATTAAAACCTGAGTGATCGTGGTGCTCTTATTGATGTGGGATTATAGAATGTTCTAGAGCTCCGATGCTTCGAGGAAGGATTCGGATTGGATTCTATCCTTGCACAGCGTCGGGATCCCAACGTCTCTATTGCATAAGTGGATGGATGCACGTAAACGTTCGTTCATACTAACAGAAAAGTTGCTTCGAACCAAAAGGCACCATTGCACCTACTAGCCCAGCTCATCCGGGTACTACTCACCCCGGGTATCGAGCGTCAGTTCAGTGCAACGTACAGATGAGTCAGACGATGAGTGGACTGAAGTTCCGGAGGGCGCCAAACTTTAGTTCCCGCCACCGTTGGCTCTCCAGGTGGCGTGCTGTTCAAAGATGTTTCCCGCCTTGTTCCCGCCAAGCTTGGCCTTCACACGAGCTACGGATTCCCTCGCCATTGCTTCAACTTCTTGCATACATCTTCTGAACCTTCGTCTTTGTTACCGTTCTTGCGCCCTCGTCGTCGTTTTGTTGCGGCCCGCAGATGTTGTCTTAGTTTTAGCCTGTATTCAGACGTTTTTTTCTGACCTTTTTTTTTTTTTTTTTTTTTTTTTTTTGTTGTTGTTGTTGTTGTTGAAGTGGCCTTGTGTATTCTACTCGAGGAGTGGTTTAGTTGACGTTTTTCGGACGAGTCCGAGTTTGTGCTCCGGAGTAGAGGATTTTCCGTCGATGGGAATACTAGAGAGCTAGTGAGGCCTGACCTGTGGAGGTTCTGTTCGGCGGTTGACGTCTACTTGCTTGTACAACATCGCCTGATTACGTTGAAGAGTGTCGTATATCGTTTCAGAGTCGTTGGAAGTAGGATTGTTTTTGAAGGGATTTGGAATCGGAGTGAACGGGGATTACTTGGACTTAAGTAGACCGGTCGCTACCTCCTAGCGTCACGCGCAAGCTGCGCATTTCAGGTTTGGGCGGAACTGGTGGATTTTTTTGACTATCGTCCTCTTCATATATTCATATACATTCAACATATTTTCGAGCGAGTAGAGGTCGGAAACTTTGGTTGCGAAGGTGGGTTTGTAGGCTTGGGTTCTGGAATCCTCCTGCAATGGGAGGAGGGAGAGGGGGAGTGACGTGTGAAAGTATTCCCGATGTTGTGTTGGCAAAGATTTTTGCGCTATTGCCGTCGTCGCAGATTGCGAGCTCTTGTGCCCTTGTGTGCAAAGCATGGCGGGACTGTACCTATGACGCGACTTTGTGGAGTGAATTGTGCGAGGGCTCTGGATTGCGTGGAATTGATGCAATGCGATGCCTTGGCGGATGGAAGGGTTTGTTCGGTTCTGTGTATGGCATTAATTTGGTCGCTACTCCACATTTTGAGCGGATTCACTACCTCGAGGCCGACCGTCTCAAGCACCAATCATTGCGGCCGTGGGAGCCGAAGCACCGGCTCATCATTGATCGCATTTGTAGCGTTGATGAGAGCGACGAAGAACCTCACTCTTATGGCTACTGGGCTACCGAGGGTGGCTCTGTTTTCCAGCGCGGTGGTGGCGACGGTGTGTTGCGGGAGCTCCCCCCTGTCGACTGTTGTCCTTGTCCTGCTGCTGCGGATAAACCTGTTATGGCTACTTCGTGGGACTGGGGCAAAGTGCAGCAGTACATTGGTCTTCAAACATTCTCTAACAAATTTTTAGATCTTAGTCCCCCCATGATGTTTTCAATCTGGTATGCGGGCAAGACAAGCGCCCCAAGTGTTTTCAAAGCACAAGTGATTCTCCGAGATGAGCTGAAAAACATCATCTTCTGCTGGTACGTTTCCGCTGGTAATTCTGGCCTTCCGCTTCCCCGTTGTTGGACACTACGTTCTTCATATTTGTTTTGTAGATCGCCGCGGTGCCCTTTCTTCCAATTTTATTTTTACAGTATCACTGGATACAACAAGATTGCCTGTCGTATTGGATTCTAAAGTCTGCACGAGCTAAATTAGCTTTCTGCGATATTATAGGGAATCAGGAGAGCTTGAGACTGCTGATAATACCTGGAAACAAGTGAAGCATATCATTCAGAAGTATCCACCTGTAAGTCGATCCATTAAACTGATTCATTAAGCTGAGATAAATTTATTAGAGGTTGTTTCATCAGAAATCTGAGATTTGCCTTTTAACCTTCTCTCTTCTTACTAAATTTCCTGTTTCTGCAGGGGTTGCGATCAGTCGTTGTGAAAGCAGCAGGGATGAGCATTAAGCACAGCGGTGGCTTTCACGGAGCTAAATTCACGGCTGTGAAGCTGCAATTTGTGCCGCTTAACGAGGTTTTCAGCCTCTACCTAACTGCTGGAAGAGCCTTTCCGAGTTTTTGATATTTGATTTTTGGTTTTGTCCGGTTTTCTTCCTAACATATTTTCGAATTCGTATCCTAACATAAATTCATGACGACTGATTTTCTTTCGTGTGTGTGCAGGTACCTTTACATATAGATGAACCTATGCCCAAGAAGTTTTCACAGTTTTGAGGCCTTGAGCGCACACATAACATAGCGTCGAATCAATGTTAGGTTCCTGGATCGAAATTTTTTATACCGGAATTGGCTGCCGTGTGTTCTTCAATGTCCCTCTCCCTTCTTCAAGAGGACTCCCTACCAATATGGAGAAAGTGGAGTTGATCTACAAAAGATGCAGCAGCTTTGTACTTTATTTGTGATCAACTATCATATTGGCACTACGAACTATTTTGTTCACTGTATAGTTTAAATGTCAGTTCTCAACGTACTTGTCCCCCTGGACTAAAAAATTTCGGATATGAGGACGGTTAAACATGTGTCAACTGAATCGCTTTTTTTGGAAATTTTCATCAACTTTCTGGATTTTTCCCGCGCACAGAATGCGGGGTAACGTTCATCTCATCTGTTCCAGACCCAAATAAGATAGTCATTTGTGAAAGAACTGTGCGCGTTCAAACATGATTGTTTATTTCACTACAACTGATCAGACTAATAGACAGGCGCACCGGTTACACAGTCAACACATGACCATACGACAAGGACATCTGGATATTGCCGTTGTGTAGCACACCTTCTCCCAACCAACGAAATGCTTACTCATTCACTTCTTGTCATAGGCTTGACAGATTCTCTGATCTGTCCTGTACAATATTTGTTCTTCCACGCATCCTACGATCCCCGGTTTGCTGTAGTTCTGTGGCCACAATTAACCGAAAACGTAAATTATACTAAGGTGTACGAAGTGACATGATGAGTAACAATATAATTGTCACCACGCATTCTATTTGATGGTCTCTCTGTGAACGTAAGTGAAAACATGAGGGTTTGAAAAGCTATTCAATAGTTGAGGGAAACACCTCCACCCTACAAACTTCTCATTTACAGTTTGTTTAAGAGTCTACTAAAAGCGTCAGCAGAGCTCAAAAACCAGCCAATTCCGTTTTGACATCCGTCGTTCAGGTGAAACACAGAAGAGTGAGATGGTTTACAGAAATATACCAGTCTCACCCCTGTACTGCAAAATGCAATCTGCAATTGTTCACATCTGGTAAAGGTACGATAACATTTCCACAATTTGACATTTTTAAGTAATGAAAGGAAGTGGCCAGGCCGGTCTGACGCTCGAATCATGTTCGTAAAAGTCAAATGACGCGATTAGATCAAATACTATACAACAGCAGAGCACCAGAGTTATTAATCACAGAAGCATCTGACATGGAAACCGAGACATTCCACCTGGAAACAAGTACAGATGCCAATAGAACAGTAGAGGCAAGGAGGATCTCTACGCACTAAACTCGCGGCAGCCAACAAACAGAGAGATGCCGCCACTATCATTCTAACTGTTTGCTTCAGTCACCAAACTGGTAAAGCTAGAAAAGCTGCTACGATCCCGAATGAGAGGAGAGTGAGAAAAGAAGAAAAGAACGAGGGGCCTATGTCTTGTTAGAACATGGTACAATTGTACAGGCACACTGCTGCTGGCTTGTCGCCGCTTACTTGCTTGCTCAGTGGCCAGAGGACCCGTCTCCGAATCAGTGTGTATCGGGAATCCATGCAATAATGTGACAACCTAGGGTGCACTTGAATGATGATTGAGAGACTGCGACAACCGTCACCTTCGAGAGAATAAAGGCAGCCAGCCTTTCAACCTGCAAACAAAACTTCCAGCGTGCAGTCGTATTCAATTCTGGCTGCGAAAGCCAAAACCATCCACAAAACTCTACACCTAATCGGACATGAAGGGAGTTTTCTCGTCCCCCGACTCTAGATCTACTCTCCACCGTCGGTATCTCACTCCAAGCTTGTCGTAAGCCACAGGGAGATTCCACACATTCGCTCCTCTTTCCATGCGGTCCTGCTGGCCTTCCACGAGTCTCAAGTCTTCACCCAGTACCTGTCGTGAATACACGAAGTAGGTCATGGAGCCACAAGTTTTCACATTCGGAATAGGAAGAAGGAGAATAAAGAGATTACAAAGTTAGAACCAGTCTCCAACATTCGAACCAGGAGTTGATTAGACAATTCAGCTTACTTTCATGCACAAAGTGTGTCTCGCAATATATATACCTTATTGGCAAGATGCTGCCATAGATACTTGATGAAAGGCACATGCTTGAGGTATGGTGCGAAATCCAAGGCCATGCGATACAACAGACGAGTCTTGCCCTTGGAGGATGGCATGCAGACGTGGAGCTGGTGGAGATGTGTGGGACAAGCATCCACGTCAGTACCGTTTAGCTTGCCAGGCTTCTCCAACCCAATGGTGGATAGCACCATACATGGGGGCTTGAATTCCATGGCTATAGGGTAGGGGTCCCAAGTTCCTGAGAGAGCTGCTATTGGCGTCCTGAATTTCACAAAGCTGCAAGGAGAATATGCATCCAAATGGTTATGATCCATCTATGCGCAGCGGACAATGGAACGGGGGAAAGTGGAAGAGCCCAAGCACTTCAGAAAGTTTAGAAACATGTATGATTACACATTACCTGGGCACTTCCCAACCCTTGGCAAACGTAGTAGTGTGCGTGAAAGGTGCATGGGCCAAATCCAGTAAATTTTCCACTAACAAACCGTGCTCCACTGGTAGCTCCATCGTGATCTGGACATCGTTTCCTAGTGTTGATCAGACTTCGTTCTTCTGATTTCTTCCATCAGATGAGACTTTATTTCAAGATTGACATTTGAACACTATCAAGAAAACAGCTAAGGGCAGAGAGAAAACACATTTGCAAGGTATGAGCGCACCTGAGCATGGATGGTGTAATGTGATGGAGGATTCAAACAAGGGAGATTTGTTGAAGGCGTTTCGTTTCCAGGCCATATCCATACCATGCCATCTTGCTCAATGCAAGGGAGTGAATCTAGCTCTGCATTCACAAGTCTTGTCGACGGCATCTTCTCGCATTTACCAGACGTGTTATATTCCCATCCTGTTCACTCGAACTCCCACACGTGAGATCTTGCCTTTCTTCAAGACGACACTTGATTGTGACTGTTTATGCTTATCGCATCAAATTATTCTTACAATTAACATACAGGGGTCTCGTAGATTATGGGGGCGCCGCATAAGAATGATACTGTTGCAGCTAGGGTTCATGAACAATTGCTTGCTGCTGGTATTTTCATCCAAGAGTGCCATGGCAATGTTCGGACACTAGATGCAGACTTCTGGTTTGGAAGAACCACACAAAAAGCATCACCGTAACAAGCTCACCATGATAAGGGCATTGTATCCGCCCGTCCTCAACTTTCCCAAGCGAGAGTGGACATGCTCTGTGCGCACAAGAATCTCGTACACACCCTGGACGGCCGTCTTTACCACGAAAGATAACCCATGCTTCTTCAAAACTGTCAAACGGTACCTGTAAAAGCAGAAATACCAAGATCAGCCCACCGTGACGCCTAAACAAATTGCCAAGATGTTCGTCCTCTGGTAAAAGATTCAAAACATAATGTGCAGGAATAGGGGATCACCATGGTTTTGTCGTCAATGTCGGCGGAAAAGGCAGCTGGGTACCAGTGATTCTTTAGCTGTGCAGGATAAGGACCCATAGGACCAGAGACGTCGAGGGGTTTTCCTCTCGACGTGCTACCTCTGGATCGCACACTGATGTCAGCTTCCGCCTCTCCCATTACCACCGGTTCCATGGTCGAGGCAGCTTTAGGTACAGTTTTCCCTCGTTTCGGGTTTATATTTTGAAGCAACTTATCATTGACCAGAGATTCCATCTCACCGAGCTTCCGAAGGGTATGTTCAACTCTGGCCTCCGACAGGTGGACCTGCCTCACAGATACACCGTCTTTGTCACTCTCCAGGATAATGTTTACGATGGCTTGTAAGGCATTGCATCAGTTGTGGCATCATAGAACCCCGAATGGGTGAATCAAGGACGACTGGAAAATGTGACTACCAATCGGCAAATACTAGGATGTATCCCCGACAGAACCTTACATGCCAATGCCATATCCCTTTTTCCCCATAGCTCGTGCAATTCGCTTCAAGTGACAAATCAATGCCCTATGAATGAGGAGTGAAGAGACGAGAGGTACAAAGTAACCAACACAACGCGATAGATTTGGGTCTGTTAATCGCACCTGGGCATGGGCTTTGGAAAGCTCTTCCTGCAATCCAGCGAGCTCCGAGCGCAGACTTTCGACGGATTTGACATCTCTCACGAGAGGGTTCAGCACTTCCACGACCTGTTTGAAGCCATTGTTTAAACTCACTGCTCCCCTAAACAATCTATTCTTTTACAAGCGTAGCCATAGGTTCGATTGCCCAAACACGGCCAGTGAGGCCTAATTTAGGACTATTCCTCAAAAACCACAAAAACGGAAGAACCAGCAGCGTTGAGGGGTTTCTCCTGCAATCTGACCTTATCGTGGGCATTGACAATTGCAAGCACGTCACGCCGGGCCTTCCAATCCAGATACAGCACGTCCTGACGCAGGAGCTCCCACGCAGTATTCACATCGAACGCGCCTTTCTTCAGCGACACTCCGGCTCCACGCGGGTCCTCGACGTTAAAAAACTTCACCACGCCCGACTGTTGCTGTTGCTGCTCCCTCCTTTCCCCCGCCCCACTTCCACTTCCACTTACCCCCACACACTCCACCACACTCCTACCCTTCCCCTTCCCGTGGCCATAGCGCCTTCCACCCCAAGCCTCCCTATCCTTGCCTGCCACTCCTGTCCACACAGCCCTACCAGCTGCTCCATAATTCACATGAAACACCGTCGCCATGGAAGACGTGCAACCTCCGCTGTAACACTCCAACGCAGAGTTCGACACCCCTAGTCCCAGCTTCTCCGCCAGACGCATGGACGACGGAGCCGCTGCCAAGCTTAGCCCCGGCGTCATGAAATCCAACTTTCCCACCTCCCCTCCTCCCCCCCACTTCCCAGTTTCTCCTAAAGAATCCAACCTCGGCAATGAATGTGGCCACTCGAGGTTCCCAACCCACCCGAGACGATGAGATGGTCGCACTGAAGCTTGTTAAGCAGACTGCAACGGGTTCACTCCGACTCCCCTATCGTATCCGCGGGGCCTATCCGCGGCCGCCATGCTGGCTTTGCCTCCGACATGTGGTGGCTCTCCCTTGCCACAAGAACTCTCAACCTTCCACCTGCTTTGGCACACTCGCTGGAGCTGCATACGTCAGAGAAAAATGAGTCCTCGACGAGATTTTATTTTCCCCCCTCCCCACTCCCACAACGCCCCACTCACTATTCTTAGCGCGAGGGGGAATTCTTGTTGTTTGTTATCCACCAGACGAAACTTCTTTTCGAGATTTTCTGGCGCTGCTTTATAATCGGAGATCAGGTTGCAGCGTTAGGGAGATTTGCGGCTTCTTGGATGGATGAGCTTCCGCATATTCCTTAGTTCAGTCCATCGCTGTGCCCTTGCTGTGGGTTCTCGGAACTGGGTTGTGCTCAGACTTGTCTTGCATGGTGCCAATTGTATTTCGCCTCTCACCCTTTGTATTCTGTTTTCGTAATCATCCTCCTTCCTCTGACGCAAATTAGATTATTAATCCAACGTTTGTGAGCTCGTATGCAATGCCATTCTGAACCGGAGGCTTGTAATGACGTATGAGATTATTCTTCTTCGATTCCTAGCCTATGTAATTATTTATTAGGTGAAACTCCTCAATTTCGATTAAATAAGTATTCAAGTGTAATTTCCTGTGATTTTTTTTTCACGACTAAATATAGTCTCTTATATCCCGTATCTAACGCAGGTAAGAACGTATTGTTACTTAAGGTGAAAATTCATTAGTTTCAGTGTCTGAAACTAACCAATATCCTAGATCGACTGAGGATATCCTGAATTGTATAGAATATACTCAATCGATCGTTTGGATGGTTTGCAATTCAGACCTGCACTGTTGATCATTGTCTGTGATCTAGAGGTGACACCCACTTCTGTGTTCACATCCTTCAATTCTGAAATACACTTTACACATTGAAAAGTTTATAAGAGTATCGGTGGTCCACGTGGTTGTCCGATGTAGATTTATGCTTTGAAGCAACACAGAGTACATCCACCTTTACCATCCACTCCGCTGAGCTGGCAATGGATATAGAACTCAATTGAACATTCTCATGCCCCAAGATCAGGATATCACCTTTCAGATCATTGGGGCTTCCCACTCGTAAGATCGGATCGTTAGAATTCAAATACTTTATATTTAGAGCGATTCATAGACCGAGGTTTAAAATGGAAGTGAGTACGCGAGTATTAGCAGATTCGACTTCCACAAAAAATGAGGATTGCTGACACTAAAACTCCGATGTTGCAATTGGTATCGTTTTAATCGAGCAGAGCCTGGAATCAAACTCCCACTGCCCAGCTCGAGGACAATACAAAGTATTAACCAGATTGTCCACACCTTGTGCCTGGAAGGCCGACCTCCTGCAGAGCCTTGATCGTTTAAGTACTCATTCAATTGTGAAGGTACATCTATAAGGAGCTATATAGATTCCTCACCCACCGCAATACACAACCGATAAACCTCAAAAAATCCCGTCATTGAGAATCCCCGCGAAGCATCACTCTTTAAATTATCTAAAACTTAGGTAGGCAAGTTGAATATCTACATTAAAGCCAGATGTTGCCCCTCTGTAGTCGCAACTCAGCCCTAACGTAATTAGCATCCTCGGTAACACCGAGATTGACACTGGGCCTCAATTCTGCACAGATTGCAATGGCGTGATGAACTGGGTCTGCACTGTATCACTCTAAACGTCCATATTGACCGGAGCTCCATTGTCTACTGCAGTGTAAAGCCTGAGAAAATTCATGGAACATCATTACCAAACACAAATTATCCAAACAGAGATGAGCACAAGTACAACTTTCCAAAGAACGATTGGCCAAACCATGGCCACGGTGAGGAATACAAAGATAAATAATGTAATAATCGCTGAATAACAGAATCGAATCTGAGATGTGATAATGGGGAGACGAAGGTGAAGTATCCCAATCCCACGATCGTAAAAAGAAAGGAAGCAACACTCTAGAACTATGTACCTGCTGGGTGAACATGTAGTCAAATCGTGGCGTCCATTTGTGAGAACCAAGACGAGCAATTGAGCAGTTATCCACCATGAAGGCAACTCCCCCAGGCGTGCATGAAGGGGTGATGAGAGTCAACAGCCCCCATCAAACTCACGTTGACCACTTCTGAGTACAAGTGACCCTTCTTCCCCAATACTACAATCTGTCCATTACAAAGTTAAATTAGAGGAGAGATATGGCAAACTAAATTCTATCCAAAGACCGTAATCAGATAAACATATAAAACTTGAATATTGATTAGTATTGACAAACCTGAGCCATCATAAGAGCGCAGTAAACACCAGCAATGAAGGGATGAAGTGGGCCCATGTCACCCTTTGGTCATGTAGAGCGCACTTTCTCACCAACTTGCCACATGCGGGTCCCATCAATCTTATCCATGGGGAAAGCTGGTAGACCCTCCTTTTCCTACATTCAATTAAAATTGGTTAATAGAGAAGATTTGACTAAACACAACCCAAAACAATAACCTCCAATCATTGTTAATGAGACGCATGGTTTCAGAATCACAAACTTGAACTGAATTTTTTTGGATGTGGATAGAATATATATATATATATATATATATATATATATATCTACACAAAACTTATAAAAATTTGTTGAGATAGATGAAAACTCACAGAAAATTAGCGATCAGACAACACAAAGTTACGGATATAGTTGCCAGAAGCAACATCCTCGTAACATTCGATCAGTATATCCATAGAGGAGTAGAAAGATGAGCTATAAGCTGCCTCAAATTCATTCTTGCCTTCCTCATCCAAGACTTGTGCACAGCCAAAATGCACATGGCTATGAAGATTACTTGGTAATTGTCTGCCTGCACTTCACCCAAGACCACCATGAGAACACATTACTAGCATCCTCGAAGTTCCAAATCTATCCAACATAGTTGTAAGTCAATCAAACGTATGAAAATAAACATGTGTCGATGCAAGTTCCATGGTGAGAAGATTCACAGACCTAGAAATGAACGGCAGTAATTGATCACTACATAAAAGTTGATACATACTTGAGATTCCCATTCAATGAAACCAATCTTCTTGAAAGCCTCAGGCAACGAATGGAACAGGTCACTCCCATTCCCGCACTACGTACTGGGAGACAGAATGGACAGGCAATGAAGCATCGTCAAGTGGAGAAATCACATGCGAACAGGTGAATGCATGAAGTCGTATGCCGACCCATTTGCATTTGAATGGCGAACTTGACCCAAACCCACAACATACTAACTAAACATTCAAGACTGAATTCTCTGCAGTACTTCGGCAATCACGAATTATTGGGCATCAACACTCAAAACCCTCAAACGTTTCAATCCAGGAACTTTGCTTAAGTCCTTCTCGTATTGACATTGTAATGTGATAACAACAGAAAGAGTACAATAACCATAACATCATTTCCATGAGATTCAACTGGGTGGAACAACAAAACCACTCCGACTTCAAAATCAAGACGTCCACTTCACCACCACTCCATTCAATTTCTGTCTTTATGCCCACCTACCTCATCGTGCCTGGCAGGGGTATTCTCCTGCTTTTAGAAGATCTCAGACTGGAACACAGCATCAGCATCAGCATCTCACACAGTCGACGTTGCTACCATGCTGGCAGTCATGGCACCGCCACGCCTTCGGGACGACACAGCTACCAAGGCATTCCTCAAGCTCTTCTCAAGCTTTAGCGAGAACGCCACTCTCCTCAACCCTGCAAAGGAGGCCATCTTGGCACCAGGGCTTCCACCATCTGAGTGCAGCTGCAGGTCACAGAAGTGAAGGGTGTGGCAGCGGCAGAGATCCATCGCTGCTATGATTCTTCAAAACCCTCGACTAAATCACACCCATACGCCAATTCCCAACCTGCGAAACTCCAATCCATGCAGCCACTTCGATGCGAAAAACATGCCCTAGAACTCAATTTGGGTTCGCAAATGGGCATAACACAGGCGGAGAACTCAGAGCGCCAAGAGTGCTTGAAGACGCGGCGGATAGCTCTTCTTTGCCACGGGTTTGGAGGATATGCCCTACCACCGAGCACAGATATGGGGCCTTCCTACAGCCTCTTATTTGAGTTCTATTTACCTTTATTTAACTTCTTGTGTTACGTGTACACCGTTTAAATTGTGGGATTGTTCATCTGAAATAGGAAGAATTCACTGAAAAAATATCTAAATGTTAGTAAGTAACCATTATATTTAGATAGTGACATCAAGTCCCTTCATATTTATGTCTCTTCAAATTTCACGTTGATATCAACCAGTGTAACACACACTCTACAAGAATTAATAAAAAATCATTTTTACAATTGCGTAGTACATTTTTTTTCCTTCTTTCTTCATGGTATCAGTGCCTCAAATATGATTCTATGTTATAACTAATTCAATAATTAGAAGCAAGGACAAACATCCATATTATATATTGATTATTTGTCCAATGACAAATTAATCAATTATGGATTTTTCGAATTTAATTCATACAATATATTTGGTAGAAAAATTATCATCTACAAATTATAATTTATAGAGTGTTAAAATAGAAATGATTTTTGTTTTAAATATTCTTTTCTCTATTGTGAATGCAACTTGATCTTAGTTATGCAAATGTTGCATTACAAAATGCGTGGAAATTCAAAGATGATAAACCAAGAGCACATATTATATTATATTTTGGTGATAAACAAGTTGGCTTGGTAAGTCTCTTAAAACTTCTAATGAAGTATGAAATAAGTTAGAATCTACATATATAGAAAGTGATCTTGTAATACACATTACAATACAAAAGAAATTATCTCAATTAGCTATGAGTGAAGGAATATCCATAGTAGAATTTATTGAAAGAGTTTAAAGACTTCTTGATGAAGTTTTAGAATTAAGACTTGTTATTCTTAAAGACCAACAATATATATAATTATTAGAAGATCTTACTTTTTCTTCGAAGACTTTTGTTACACCACAAGCTTCCATGTATATTTTATAGATAAAACTCTATGTGCTTCAAAACCACTAGAGTTGGTCCATATTAATGTATGTAGTTCCATGCAAATTAAATTTATTAAAAACTTTATTTATTTTTTCATCTATATTAATGATTATTCAAGATTCACAAAAATATATTTCTAATAGCATAGATCAAAGGTATTTCAAACATTTCAAGCTTATAAAGCTTATGCTAAGAAACAAAAAAATCATAAAATTCAGAATCTGTGCCCAAACAACAAGAAAGGAGGGGAGAAGGAGAAAACACATAAGAAAAACTTGATTTTTGTATTTAACAAGAAATACTACATTAATTTATTGTCTCTTATATACCAAAATAAAATGGTGTTAGTGAAATAAAGAACAAAAATTTTAATAGACTCTACTAGATGTATATTGCATACATTTGGATTTTTCAATTTATTTTAGATGGATGTTATAGCCATAGCCTATTATATACAAAATAGAACATTTTTAAAGCGATTTTAAACTTCAATTATTTCTTTGACAGTATGGTGTGGTAAAACACCTCATTTAAATTATTTAAAGATCATTGGATGTACAATATATGTACATGTTTTAGATGAACACCAGCAAAAGCTTGATACAAAAAGTAATGAATGTAATTTTTTTGGCTATGGTGATGTATAAGGCAGAAAGGATTATCCATCATTATAATAGAAATAAAGAAAAATATTTTTTTAGTCAAAATATTATCTTTCATAAAATTATCTTATTGAAAAATTTATTTATTCAAAGAAAGGAATAAATGTTTTTTTTAACAATATTAATAAAAAAGTTTTTTTGATGTTTTAGTTGAAACACAATTTGAAGTACCAATGATATAAAATCATGTTCCTTTACAATTATAATATCCACTCACAATCAATATTATCTAATGATTTTATGCTTTTTAATAATACTAATTGTTTAAATAAATTATAACATAAACAGATATTTGTTGAGTTATCGATTGCCTCCAAAACTCCTTTACTTCATAATAATAATATAATCAATGAAACCAATTCAAGTAATTCAAGATCTTTATCATCCATTTAACTAAGAAGGTCCACAAGATCAACAAAAGAAAAATTATCAAATAAAAATTGTAGTCATGTCTTCTTTACAAATCATTAATTAATTTTACTTAAACTTGATAAATTTGCTATAATTACAAAAGCTTTAAATGAAAAATATACTATCAGGTAAAAAGATGAATTAGATGCTAAGTATGGATCTTTAATTAAAAATAATATATGGATTTTAAAATACCTTCTTCTAGGATGTTCTATAATAAGTTGCAAATGGATATATTTTAAAAAATATAATGATAATGGCATAATCACTAATTATAAAGTTAGATTGGTTGCATGAGATTTTCCACAAGTAAAGGATATTGACTATGCAAAGATATTTTTTCATGTGGTAAAAATAAGCTCATTACATATTTTATTATCCCTAGTAGCAATATATGATCTATATATTCATCTAAATGGGCGTTAAAATTACATTTCTTTATGGTCACTTAAATAAAAAAAATTTGTATGGCTCAACAAGAGGATAATATTTATTGACCCTTATTTTCTACATAAATTTTGTAAGTTATTAAAATAAATATATGGATTAAAAAAACTTTGCATATATGGTATGAATGACTTAACCATTATCTCATTAAAAATAATCTTTTTAGTGGTGAAGTAGATTCTAATATATATATGAAAAAAAACGTGTGTATTAGAAGTTTGACATATTGATATTATATGTTGAAAATTCTATTGTTATTAATAATGATTTATAATCCTTAAATGCTATTTAATTTTTTTTAGCAAGTAACTTTGTATTACAAACATACACATTTGTATTGAAGATATAGATATAGATAGAAGTAAGTAAGATAAGTAGACTTAACAATATCTTAGAAGCTTTATAAATGTAGATTAGACTTTTTACGTATTTGTAGGTGATTGGTAGATTAAAAACTTGATCAACAAATTGGCCACATATTGCACATATTGCTAACTTGTGGTAAAAGTTGGTAATGTGGCGTACATGTAAGAAACTTGACTTGCAAGTTAGACATGTGTCTTATAAGTTAGACACATGACTAAGGTCCTATAGAACGTGTCACGGACATACATATAATTACCTATATGAATAGATAAAAGTATGTAAAAGTAGGTTAATTGTGTAATATCTTCTAGAGAAGCTTCTTAAAAGCTTCATAGATGCTGCTTTGACTTTATAGGAGTCTATAGTTGACTTTTAGGTTAGAAACTTGGTCAACAAGTTAGCCATGTGCCACGCATGTTGGAAGCTTAAAGAACAAGCTAACTACGTGGTCCATCCATAGAAAACTTGCCTTGCAAGCAAAGGCATGTGGCCTAGAAAGTCAACATATATTGGAGGTCTTATAGAACATCGCCACGTGGCTTCTAGTTAGATAGTATATATAGAGGCAAGAGTGAAGCCCTCTTCACTCTTGTCAACTCCTTTCTTGCTTCTAGTCTAGTTTCAAGGGTCTCTAGTTTTCTTGTATTTTGGCAATAGCCATTCCAGTTTCTTTCTTAATATACATATTTCTATTTTGTCCTATTTCTTTTTGAGAAAAGTCTCACTTACTCTTTAGCTTTCATCGAGTTCTTGTCCCTGACAGATTGACAAGAGTACACTTACAATATCAGAGCTTTGTCTTTTCTTGATTAAGAGTGGATTACCCCTTTTTCTTGATAAGACATAAGCGCATTAGAAGTTGCGGATTACCCTCTTTTAAACTGATATTGTTCTTAGTATTTTCTTTGTTATCAATTCCTCTCTTCTATTTGTTTTGAGCGTTGTTAGACATCTTCTCTTTTCTAAGTGCTACTATGGCAGAGCTTGTTGAAATGAAGAGTGCAATGGCACAGATGCAAGAACAATTGAGGGAGTTAATGCTTGCGATGCATCAACTCAATTTACCACCACAAAGAGCAACAAGAATGGTAGGAAGTGAAGATATAGAGATGATTGGGGCTGCTTCAACATCTGCACCAAACCATGTCCCTTCTCCCAGAATGGAACACCCTTCGAGTGTTAGAGAACCGAGAGTTGCCTTGCCCGAGAAGTTTGATGGTACCAAATCCAAGTTTCGAGGATTCATCAATCAGGTCCAACCAGTGATTGAACTTCAACCCCAGAGCTATCCAACTCCAGGGTCACAAGTAAGATTCATTAGTACACTTCTTTCAGGTTCAGCATTGTCATGGTTTTCATCTTTTCTTGAACGACGAGATCCAATATTGGATAATCTGGAGGCTTTTTTGGCGGAGTTTCGATCCATGTTTGGAGAACATGATGCAATTCGTGTTGCAACCAACAAGATCCGTATTTTGCGACAAGGCAATCGATCAGTAACATTATATGCTTCGCAATTTCGACAACTTGCAACTGATATCAAGTGGGATGATGCCGCACTTGTGAGTCAATTTCTCTACGGATTGCAATATGAGGTAAAGAAATTGATGCTTAATTTACCTGATCCTCAAACATTGAGTCAAGCAATTGACTTTGCTGTGAAGTGCGACAATCGACTTTTTGAATTTCGATCCGAGAGTCGCACAAGTGGGCCTCAACGTTACTACAATTCAATGGCAACACCGACGTCTCCTCAACACATACCTTCGGAAGTAGAGGATATGCAAATTGATGCGGTACGTTTCAAACCTCTTACTGAGCAAGAAAAGTCTCGTCGTCGACAAGAAGGATTGTGCTTATATTGTGGAGAACCCAAGCACACTGCTCAACATTGTCCAAAGAAGCGACGTAACTACAAAATGAGGAGTACGGCTGTCAAAGAAGACAGTATGTCGGAAAACGAGTACGTCCAGCTACAATAGGGACCGTGCGGCTGGAATCTTGTACAACTTCTAATAAAGGTCCTATCCTCTCCTCAAAACCATCTCCTTGTTTTATAATAGATGTGCGTTTAGGACCTAATAATTACAAAGCCTCTG